GTTTTTCTGTGAAAATTTTAACAGTAATTCAATTACTGTAAGGTATAAACGTACTATAAATAAGTGACAATGTTCACTAAATCCATTAAAATGTCACAAAATATTTTTTTCTTAATTTTTTTCGTTTTAGTATTCAAATTAAGAAAGGCTATGGCTATAATTCAGTTGAAAAGTATCCTCTTACCTTAACTTTCAACAATATTATTATATAATAAATTTTTATCATAGTGATGTAATACTGGTTTTAACTTTGTCTCATCGCACTATGTTACATACCGAAAAGACTTGGGTTTTTATTTTATAATATTTAAATTTTACAGATATATTTATATTGTATTTGTACATACTTATTACGTTTTGTTCTCTATTATGTTGATATTCCGATACCTTATCGTTCATAAATGTTTTGATTTTTGGATTACTAGATATTTCCTATAAAAATTCAGGATAATAAATTATGGCTATTAAATAACGAGACTATTAGGCTAGTGATAGAACGAGTGTAACTAAAAGAAATATGTGGTACATTTATTACATATAAACAATAATGTATTGATTATGTTCAATTAAACAGTATTCGTTTTATATATCTCTTGTGAACGTTTGTTAAAGTTTAATAATTTTATACGAGTTATATGGTGAATATGAAACAATGTGATGATAAATTCCGATATAGGTATAAAAAATACATTAAAAATTATTTAGTTATGCTAGGATTTTAATTTTAACTGTATAGAAATGGCTACTATTTAGTTCATATCAACACATATCTCCTAGTATAAAAATTCGATTTTTAAAAAATGTTTAAGTTGAACAAATCTTAATAACAATTATTATTCTCATTTTACGATAAAAAAAATATATTTCCAATACTAATGTAACAAATGAAATATTTTTAATTAGGTATTAATTTAGTCGAAAATATAAAAATAAATAATAATTACTAGAGAACATTAATCATAATTTAATTGTAAAATAATATTTAATTATTTATATTAGCATATTACTTTTTGAATCCGTTTTTTTATAGTTTCTGAATTGGTCTTTGTTCTACAAAGTAACTCGGATAAAAGCCTGTAAGTTTGTTTTTTATCATTATGCTGATAATCTAAACGTCTATCACCACCATAATTAACTGGATGTGTTAATATCTTAAGCGGTTTTGACTCTTGATTATAATTAGGTTTCTCGTAATTTAAATTTAATTTGTTACATTTTTCCTCTTGCCATTTCAAATCTATAGGATTAAAGTAGTGTTTATTCTTAAGAATTTTTTCTTCAAACGTACTCATGCAATGAAATTCCTCTGTTTTTAAATATCTAAATGGATATACTACTTTTGCAGGACGTGATTTACCACTGAGGAACTATGAACAAAGTTTTTTATTTAAACATGTTACAACAATATTTCATTATTACTAATACATGTAATTACTTAAGTTTAATGTATACAATCTCTGAGATACTTCTTATATTTTATTATTATTAAATAACCCACAACAAAAACACAAACGTACAGACATTACTACGGGAACATAAGACTGTATGGCACTATATTATAGCTCAGTTCAGAGAGTCAGTCTCCTTATGTAAGGATGTGTTATTTATAAAAAAAATTTGAAAATAAGGAAAGTGTGAAAAAACTTTTTCTAATATGTGCCGACAATATGCACTATTATATAACATGTACCAATAAAGAATTGTTTATACTAGATAAAATTATTTTTTGCTACGTTCAACAAATATTTATCCCACTATTAAACAAAAAACCCAACACAGTTGTTACATGTATAGATGATATTTTACAATAATTAATATCACTATTATAAAAAATGATTCGATGCAAATCTCTTAATAGTTCTTAATTTTTAAAAGAAATTATTGACTTATTCTAAAAGCAACATAACTCCTCTTTTCTTATTTATATCTTGATACAAGTTTTATGTTTCAAAAGTATAATACAAGTATAAACATCTATTATAGTAATTAAATTTAATATGAAACTGAGGGTAAGTAACCAAAAACTTGGGTACTTGGCCCTGTTCTATTATAGTAAATTAAATAATAAAAAATTTTATAAAAATAGAAATTATCAAAACATAAAATGCTTTGAAGTATTAACACATATTTAGTAAGCTATTATGCTTATATTTTTATGAAAATTATACTTACGTATCCAAATTCTTCAACTGTGAATTTTCGCTTTAATATATATTAAAAAAATAAGTTATATTTTATTAAATAAATTAGTATAGTACAAAAAAATTTGTAAATGAAAATGAATTGTTGTTATATAATTAAAGAACCGTTAGTAAATTTTTGTACACATGTAAGAATTAGAAAAAAATTTAGAAATTATATAATACGTCATTTTAGATATTCAATTTGTGTTGAAATACAATACTAAATTTATGTTAATAGCAAATTTGTCTTGCCCATTAGAAAATTATTAGATTTTTTACATTTTGATTAAAAATATCTAATCATGTTATACAGATGGAACAGAAATATCTGACAACTCTTATAAATTTTGATACAATAAAAAATTTACAAGTGGAATCTGTATTATAAATATACACCAGTATGAGCTGTAACCAATCAAAATTTTTGTAAAAAAAAAAATTCTAAAAACTGGCTTCTTTGAAATTTTGGAAAAATTAACACAAACAAATTATTACTATTTTTATTAATGAAAACAAATAATAAAAAATATGATTTCAACGTAGTCTAACAATGCTTAAATTATTTTTTAAAAAATTATAATAAAAGTTTAATTTTATCAAAAGTTATAAAAGTTAGATTTGATCTTTCTTGTAGAATTATTGATAAATACGATTTACCTCTTTTATATTATTTTTGCTACAGCATGTGGCCACATAAGGTAGTGTGATGTACAATAGAAAACTTATAATTGCCAAACATTTATACAACACCATAGCTAAATTTTTATGTTTACGAATGAGATATTTTTCTTCACTTCTCAAAAGTTTTATGCATAATAACGAAGTCGTCTGTATTAAATATAAAAAGTTTTTAATATTTTTTTGGGTTATACTAATAAAATATATTTAATAAACACTTATGAAATAATAATAAAATGACAGAAATATATATAACTGGTAGAACACGTCATTTTCTTATATTTATTTTAGTAATTCATTATTATATTTCTACATCGTAAAATGAAAAAAAACAGAATTTTTAATTAATTTTCTATTTTGTTAAACTGTAATTGCATTCGATCAAATGAATAATCGGAGTAGCTTATTACAAAAGGCAGTTAAGTACATAACATTTGTGTATACATAATTTAACCACAAATTATGCTTATATGTATATTTGGAATGACTCCATGGCATCGCGGGTCCCACAAGAAACTGGATCATGCTTATTACACTTCATAAAAAATTATGTAAATACAACACTATTAGTTATATATAGTGACCAATATTGAGGACAAAATCACAATATCAAAATAGCTTTAATTTGTAATTTCATCTTTAAATGACTATTCATCACCTAAAATACACCATAAGTTTCTAGTTTCATACTTGGCATGTAATAGGGTTTTGGAGTGATTGAAAAAGAAAACAGATATCATCCTGAAATATATATACCAAATGACTGGTTAAAAATTATTTAGAGTGCTAGAAAAAAATCTATTTGAAGTAATAGATTTATTTTTTACTGTATTTTTGTGTGTTACTACCAGTTATTATTATTTCACATTTTTCAGTAACATGTTGCTCTATAAATCATTTAAAAAAAAAATTATTTTTAGTTTCACCGGACTTTAACAATAGATTTTTACAATTATAATAAAATTTTATAATACGCTCCATTGAGTAGATTTTTGTAACAAATTATTGTTTGGTGTTATTAGTAAATCATTAAAATTTATTTATGTTCTGCATATTTCAATTGTAGTATCTTTTTAAACACTAAAAGTTACTTTAAAATGATTACTATGATTTCTATTTAAGTGAGCTATTACGATTAAAATGCAAACAAATATTGAGCTTTTCTGATAAATTTACTGTAAATAGTAATTATAAAAATCTTAACTGCATATTAATCTTAACAATACAATTTGTGGTATACTTATTAAATTTGTAATAGAAAAAGTCTAATTGCAAATTTGAAAACAGCGCGAAATGTTGATCTGGAAAATTATATTTTTGTTTCTGATAAAAGTTCCTTATAGTCCAGTGTATTTATTCATAAGTAACAAAAATTTTGTATTGAAAAGTATTGCATCAAGCCCTTTAAAAATAGGCATTAAAAGTAAAGAAATATACAACTGCTTTATTATTTTTATAATTTTTTCTGTATAAATTACTATACTAAATTATTGAATATTAATATAGTACTAAATTTAACTACTATGATAAGTATTTATTCATATGTTATATTTTTATAACAAAGAACCACTAATCTGTATATAATTAAGGAAATAGGCATTGATGTTGCTTTTGTAACATATTATCCATCAGTTATTTATATTATGAATTTTCAATCATTCAAGTATAAAATTATTATCCACCTGATACACATATAACAAATAACCTTTATAACAATTACTAACTACCTATTAAAGGGTCTACAATTAAAGAAATATATTAACCAAAGTTGCAAGTTTTCGATTATTAATATATTTCAACCAATATACAAAATATTTTTAATGAGAAAATGATGTATCATTAATAATATAGAAAGGCTTATCAAAAAAAAATAATAAACATATTTTTATTAGCTTAAATGGAGAAAAATTGTAGTATTGATTGGCCAATCAAGTGTTTAATGAAATTATATTAAATATTATATTGAGTTTCTATCATTATAATTTATCTAATTAGTAATTAATTATTATTATACTGTGAAATAGTAGAATCATACTTATTTTACTTATATATTGAATTCCTTCTCTTTCTATCATTATAAAAAAAATATAGTCCACCTCGCGATCAATTGCACCCGAAAAACAACGAGTGAGATGGGTGGACTTCTCTTGTTTCATTACCTCTAGAAGTTTATAAGTTAGTATATCTAAAACACAACAAGATAAAGTAAAATATTTTATTATTAAACTTATTATGCATATAATACCTATTAAATGACTAAAAGTTTGAATCACAGAAAAAATATTTTTTTAAATTCCTTTGTACTCCCTTTCAAAGGCACTGAATTTTAATTGTACATCTTAATTCATAATACGAGATAAAATTGTAGTAAAGATTATCAAAGAGTTTTAGAATTCTACTGGCATTTATGACCAAACAATTTTTTTTATGAAATATAGAATATTAAATTATCTCAATTTAATTAAAATTATAGAATTTATATAAAAAAAAAAATTTACTAATTTGTTCGTTATATTTAAACGATTTTTTAATTGATCATCAAATTAAAAAAATTGTTTATCATACAACAATTGTACTAGTATTTCTGGTTTAAAAATATTTTTCATAGCAACTATGTATGTATTTATAAATATGTAGATTTTCACACAAAAATCAGTTACGAATTAAGTAAATTAATTAAGTAATAATTTTTAATACAAAATGGCTAAAATTTTTGAACGAATAATGAAAATTGCCAAGAAGAAATTTGGCTTAAGTAAAAAATCCAAAGGTAATTCTATACATATTTGAATGTTCGCTAAATTTATTTCCTCTATTTATGATTAATTCATACGTGTTATTATAATTTTGATTTAAGTTATCATTGATTTTTATTTTATTTAGTCATCTCAGTAGATTGTGGATCCCAAACAAATACAATAGCAGAAGAAATGGTCGCTCCAATAAAATCTGTTACAGAAATAAATATTTTAGAGTCACAGATTAAGGAAGTAGAAGACATAGCAGTTCAGACGTCTATATTAACCTTTGACAAACTTACTCAGACAAATAATAAACTTATGTATAATTTGTCTGAGACACAAACAAAAATGTTGTTTAATTCGTTAAGTTGTGAAACACAAACTGACGTCTCAATAGAAAATCGTATTTTAAATATAAAATCTTTGGACGAGCCTCATAATTCAAATTCAAAATTAATAAATTATATGCACACTGGTTCTCAGTGTTGCCTCTTATCTACTAAAAATGAGCCTCTTTTAAAAGGTATGTTTAATTTAACCACTGAAGGTAAATATGAACAAGATTCTAATAAAAATATCACATTAGTTAATGAATTTAGAGAGCATGATTTGCAGTCATGTACTTTGTCGCCTTTAGAAGCATCTATTAAAGGTATGATTACTTTACAATTGTACGAACATTATTTAATTAGTAATTTAAAAATTGATACACAGGAAACAATTTTTTTTTCTTTTGAGTTGTGACAATAATTATTTATTTTTTTATAAATTATATAGCTTGCTATAAATCATAATTTTTAAAATAGGAATTACTAGTTTAGTTTTATATAAAATTAAAAAAAAATTTTTGTTGTTCTTAATTTGTGAAATATTAGTTATAAAAAAGAATCTTAAACTTTACTTTAATTTTGATTAATTCAAAGCCATTAAATGTTTTGTCATGAATCAATGTAACTAGACGTTCTAAATTTCTGGGAGTTTGTTCTTTATAAATATACATTATTTAAATAGGTTAAAAGAATTAGTTAAAATGTATTAAAAAATGACAATGTTCAATTTATAAGTAAGAGGACAAATTATTAATTTAGTTATTTTATTTAGTTAATAATTGCGTTGAGGATGGAATTAATCCTTCAACGACACTCAATGACACTAAAGAAAAGATTGAACCATGTGTCACAAAAAGTCAAATAACAGCTGAACGTAAATTTGAACAATAATTTGTAATTTTTAGTAATTAAAAATAAAAAAATATTAAAATTAAAAATAAAGAATAAATTTAAATAGAGACGCTAAATATCTAGGCATTTATTATTTTTTAATATTCTTATTGTTATATTTAATGATATTAAAAATTGTTGTATGTAAAAGATAAAAATAATCTAAATTATTTTAAATTAATTAATAGGTAAAACAAATTTTTTTATTTACATTTTAGTTGATGCGACATATGATTTGTCAATTGCTGAAGTGGAATTTAATAAAAAATACTCGGTAATTAGAAATCATATATTCAATTTTTTTTCTGTTAAACTAATACTGAACACTTTAGTTCTTAATGTTAGACTCTTATTATCAAACATAGTTTTTCAGAGCGGACTTAGATAAATAAAGTCATAATAATAAATAAATAATATTAATAATATTATTTAATAGAATGAAGTTGTAGTCAACAAACAAAACGTAAATCAGGTTGAAAATCGTCTACAATTCTATACTCTTGATAATGTTCCTAAGCTTCAATTAAGAAATAATTATGTATATAGCATGAGAGTGCTGTATTGTCAAACAGATTATATTTGCATGACAAAAGTAAAAAATGAACAAAAAATACGATTTATGGAAAATAATATGAATGAACATTATAAGCAGACACAAGGGCGTAATTTTAAACCACGACATGATGAACTTTGTGCTATTAAATATAGTAATCAACAATTTTAATTATTAAAATAATATAAAGCCAAGTAAAATTCATACGATGTATGATAGATATTTAATTAATCAACTTTATGAATTTGTATATTTTTTCTTTTATATGGGAGTATCATAACTCATAACATTCAAACAGTGTCTTTAATAGAAAAATGTCCATTATCTTCCTTTTAATATCTCTATTACTTTAATTTAGGTGATGATAGTTGGTATAGAGGAGTTTGTATTGATATTGAAAATAGTGTGGATAGAAGTCAATTTTACATTATTTATTTTATTGATTGGGGAGAATCGGTTTCTGTAACATCTTCTGAACTGCGTAGATTGGAAACATTTTATATGAAACACGCGCCTTTGGCAGTCAAATGCATTATATTGGGTATCTATAATATTGTTAGTTTATTCGTTGAAAACTCAACAATTTTTTTAATTTAGATTTAAAATTATCTAACGCTCATCAAAAAAATCTGCGTAAACTGGAGAATAATGAATATAAATGCAAAATTAATTTAAGACTTAACCCCCGTAACTTTTTAATATCTTCAAAAAAAATTCTGGACATATTATGTGATCGTTAAAATTACTGATATTTCGTTATGTATTGTATTTTTGGTTCAGTAGTCAATTAATTCAGTTAAATTGTGTTTAATGAAATTGTTTACTGTTTTCATTATACAGAGTGAAAAATTATACAGAAACCCGTTTCCTGACTTACTGAACTCCCTGTATAATTAAAAAATAATAATATCTATTATGCTTTTGTGATATAAATTAAAATGTCTTTCTACTTAACAGATCGATTTTTTTTTTATAATTAGTTTTGAAAAATAAATTCAATAAGTAGATCATCAAAAATAAAATTAATAGAGGTTTTAAAAATTATGTACAATTAATACTGGATATTTTATAAGTTAATAATAAAAATTTTATTTAAAGTAACACAAAAAAAAATATTTATTGTATATTATATATACTTATATATACAGTGCACATCTGACGTAAAAACTCAACATATCCCTTGGCTAATTTATACCACTAATTACACTATAAAACACATTTTTACGATAAATATTGGGAAAATTGTAAATTCTTAAAATATTAGCAGATTTTATTTTAGAATGAAAAGTTCTGGCCCTCATATAGAATGATTCACTTATCATTAACAACTTACTAATCGAAAAAGTAAAAATAATATTAATAATTATTTTATTTTTTTTTTTTTAGTTTTTTTGTTTCTCTTAATTTTACTCTTTAAAAAGAGTTAATTTAAAAATAAAAACCTATAGATTTTATTTTATTTATATTTAGAAAGTGTCAATATTTCTTTTGCTAATGACTTTTGTTAAACCATATTAATAAAAAAAACCCAGCACAGGGGCGTCGCGGCACAGTGGTGACGTGGTATAAATGGATCAAGTATAATGATATCTGACAGTGATTAAAATCACTATCATAAAAAATGCTTCGATGCAAATCTTTAGATAGTGTTTAATTTTAAAAAATTGGTGGATTATTCCAAAAGCTTCATAAACTGATAGTTCCTTATTAATATCCTGATTAAGATAAAGTATGTCGAATGAAAAAGGAATTATTAAAAATTAGTATTTCCCATAAAAAAATTATATTCATCAATACACTTTTCAANTATTTCCCATAAAAAAATTATATTGATCAATACACTTTTCAATAAGTTATAGCATTATAAAGTTAAAAATGTAAAAAATAAAATTGAGATTTTTCACACAATAATAGCATTTGGTAGCCATTTTCACCATGAAGATAAAATAAAGTCCGAAATTTTTTTTTTACATAATAAAGTAGATTACATTAGANCTCTTAATTTTACTCTTTAAAAAGAGTTAATTTAAAAATAAAAACCTATAGATTTTATTTTATTTATATTTAGAAAGTGTCAATATTTCTCTTGCTAATGACTTTTGTTAAACCATATTAATAAAAAAAACCCAGCACAGGGGGGTCGCGGCACAGTGGTGACGTGGTATAAATGGATNGAAAAAGTGAATTTTTTGTGAAAAAGTTGTCATTTTGAATCCCCCCCTGTAGGCAGGTAAAAAGTCAGATTTATAAAAAAATTCTACAAAAAAAAGAATTATATTGATCCATACATTTTTCAAAAAGTTATAGCATAATAAAGTTAAAAATGGAAAATACAAAATCGAAAATTTTCACACAAAAATAGCATTCGGTAGCCATTTTCACCGTGAAGATAAGATAAAGTCCAAATTTTTTTTTTTCATAATAAAGCATATTACATTAGCTTTAATTTAAGATATATATAAAAGTGTCAGACTTTCCGGAACATTTTCAAAATTTAAGTTAAAAAAATTAATTTTTTGTGAAAAAGTTGTCATTTTAAATCCTCCCTTGTGAGCAGGTTAAGGGTTAAATTTATGAAAAAAATATACCAAAAGAAAGGTAATGATATTATGCATCTATATAAAAAAGAATTATATTGATACGTTCATTTTTGAAAAAGTTATGGCACTTTTAAGTAAAAAAAATTGAAAAAAATTTGAAAATTATCGATTTTTAAATTTGTAATTTTTTTGGAGTTTCCCCCATTTACGGAGAACGAGGGAATTTTTTTCAATTTTTAAGGGTAATGTCTTCGACTAGATACAATTTGTGATCTTTTGACGTATCGTTGAAAGAAATCCGTTCGATGAGAGCTGAGAAAAAGTGGTAACAGACACACAAAAAAAAAAAGAAAACACATCTTAGTAAAACCAATACCTTCTCAGCTTCGCATTGAAGCTAAAAAACAGTAAAAGTATACATTGTCTTAAATATTAAATTATTTTAAAGTTTGATAGTTTTTAAAAGTTATAGTTTATTAACAAATAATGTAAAAATATACTAATTGAAACCACGATTTCCCTAATTGTAGAAAAATTATACTATAAGATTTTCTAATTAATCGAATAGAATAAATAAATAAATTTAAATAAACAAATTTTATTTTTCAATTGAATAAATCTGATATGAAACAAAATTGGAATTACCATTTTAAAATCAAAAATTAATATAAGTTTAGTGTATAAAGAATAGTAGCAAAAGATTAATTTTTCGCGTAAAGCATCTCAAAAAAGAATTATAGTTGTTAACAAAATAAAATAATAATTAGCTTTAATACTTTCTAAGATATTCTTGAGGCATAGCTAAGGAATCATTCTGTAAAGTATGTATTTTTTTTCTTAGTTATGAGTGTACAGGTAAACACACATAACCTTTTTAACACGCTTATTAGTTTCACATGTATGTTTGTTTGTTTGTTGTATGTTGTTTGTAACTTCACGCGGCACGTGTTATTATGTAGCGTATCCCGTCGTCTATGACCTTGAGACTAGACCGTCGTAACGCATTCACCCCACCCCGTTCACCAGTCAGCGACAACACTATTTTTCTGTATAATTTTTTTTTCTGTACATTTTTACTTTTGCTTTTCGTACCCGTATACACGTGCGTGTCACCATTTATATATATATATATATAACAAATTTTTATTGTGATTGACACAGCCCCGCGTCGTTTCGTTATACACGATGCCCCACGACTCGTGCCACCTTTATCAGCCGTCGCCCTATTTTATAAGTATTTGACTGACCAACACCGCGCGTTATACGCCGCGGTGCAAAGTCCAGCAAGTGCGGCACGGCCGACGACGTTCCGCCGCTAATGATACTCTAGTCTTCCTCCCATTGTCAAAGTGACAACGTCAACAAACCGATCCAAACTCGCGCACCGTCGTCATCTACGCTTCTAACCTTTTGACGCCCGAGGACCACGCCGGACATCGCGTCGTCGACGCCAGCGAAAGTGCCGAGATATTATGCGAAGATATTATATTCTTACCATCGCCGCTAATTTAATATATATATATATTAATTACTATTAAAACTTATATATTAATACGCTTTATTCTCATTAAGAGATATATAGTGTATTTATTCCGTTTACGGTGAATGATTGCCGTATTGCCATTTTTCGTCACTACCTTCACGTTGCGCGCCTGCTGCTTTCCTTGGATGTGGTAGCCGTTTCTCAGACTCCCACTCCGGAATCGAACCCTGATTCCCCTTTACCCGTTACAACCATGATATTGATAGTAACTACTATCATAACATGTAACTAAAAAGTGAAAAATAAATATAGTTTAAAAAAACTAAAAACACGCTTTTAAAGCACATCGAACTAAAAAGTTCAAACTAATTTTTAAAATAAGCGTAAAACAATGATGAACGAAAAGTACTAGTATTATTGTGATAAAAGCGTTGGTGCCTTGTGCTATATTTTTCGTATATTGAGCGCCCGACGCTTTTATTACAATAATACTAGTACTTTTCGTACATTATTGTTTTAAGCTTATTATAATAATTATAGTTCGACGTGCTTTAAAAGCGTGTTTTTTAGTTTTTTTAATCTATATTTATTTATTGGAAACATTGTATAGCTCCCATCGAAGTCTCAAAGATAAGCCGACTGTTGCACGTGAAACGCAAGTTATGAGTCATAAACCTCGTCGTGTGTAGATTCATCTTGTATTAGTGAATATTTACAAAGCATACTCCGCCCGCATTATGTACTTTATCTATGTATTCAAATGTCAGTAATTACAAAATTACAAAATCGTCGTAAGAAAAGATCTAACAAATACTTTGAAATATTAAAAATATTAAATAATAAAAAATGTTTATTTTAACTTCGATTAATTAATAGCTGAAAAGCTATTAGTTGTATTTTGAAAACTGTATGGATTATTGCAAATTTTTATTGATAATATTTCGAACATTTGTCTAGCTAACGACGTATTTTTTTGAAAATCGGATCATTAAGTAAGTACTGCGAGGCTTAAAAATCCTATCAACATTTTTTTCATTTCAATTTTTTATAATTGTCCTCTGTGATTAATCAACTAATAAAGTAAAAAAGCATGTAATCTTTAGTAGAAGTGCAAGTCCGACGACTAATATT